GCAACAAGGAAGGCAGTTTTCCATGAAACTAGGCATAAATCCACTGTTGCCAAAGGTTCAAATGGAGGTTTCATAAGGGCCTGAAGTACAACAGAAAGACTCCACATCGGCATAACAGGTCAAACTGACGGGTGCAAATTTTGTAGCCCTTTAAGGAAACGACAAATCAGGGGTTGAGAAAAAACAGATGACCCCTGAATGCTGCCCACAAAAATGCAAGATTGCAGCCGTATAGACCTTTATAGATGAAGGCTTGAGTCCCGAGCGATGAAGGTCAAATAGAAATTGCAAAATATTCTCGATCGAAGCCGACTCCGGAGAGAAAGAATGGGCATTGGCAAAGGAAGAGAATCTTCTCAACTTTGCTAAATACGATTTGTGTGTGGAAGGTCGTAGTGCAGATTCGAGAATTGCCTGGATATCCGAGGATAACACTATCGGTCCCGAAACTGACCTTGACGGTTCCGAGGGAGGAGTTGGTGGTGTATGACATTGAAGTGAAAGTTCCGTCGCTCGGGAAGGCAACGGAGCCAATGGAAAATTCAGATCTATCGGAAGCACCACGCTGTTAGTTTCAGCGAGAGTAAGTCCGGGTGTCGTACTGTCCCGTTGTGTTGTGTTAACAGATGAGGAACAAGCGGAAGTCGTCGAAAAACTCCTCTGGACTGAGTGAAGAGAGTGGTGAACCAGGGTTGCCTTGGCCACCATGGGGTTATCAGAATTCCTGAGCTGTTGTCGTGTACGATCTTCGACACTACCTTCATGAGGAGTGGGACTGGAGGAAACATGTAGAAGAACAGGTTGTTCCAGTCGATCATTAAGGCATCTCCCCTCAAGTCCAGTCCCAGCCCTGCTCTGGAGCAGAACAGTTCACACACCCTGTTCGACCGGGTCGCGAACAAGTCTATATCTGGTTGTCGCCATAACTGGAACAGTTGGTCGCAAACCACTCGATCCAACTCCCATTCGTGGGTAGTTGACATCTGTCGGTTCAATGCGTCAGCTTCTACGTTGTCGGTTCCCGCAAGATGAACCGCCAGCATCGTGATGCCCCAAGGAATACACCAGTCCCAAATTTGCATTGACAAACGGGCCAGGAGAGGTGACTTTGTCCTGCCCTGTTTGTTGACGTAGAAAACAGCAGCTATGCTGTCGGATGCAATCTGTACAACTTGGCGGTGTAAGACAGTTTCGAAAGATTTGAGAGCATTGAAAATAGCTAGAAGCTCGAGGAAGTTGATATGCCTCGCTGCTTCTCGTTGGGTCCATGCCCCTTGGACCCGAAGCCCTGAACATGTCACACCCCATCCGATGAGAGACGCATTGGTGTACACTGTCACTGTCGGTTGGGGTGGGCGGAACGAAACGCCTACAGATAGGTTGCGTGAAATAGTCCACCACATCAGGGTGTGAAGGATCGAAGATGGAATCTGCAGAAACTTGGTTTGTAGATCCCACTGCGGATGAAACAAGTTGTTGAAAAATAATTGGAGCGGGCGGAGTCTGAGCCTCGTGTGTGGCACAATGGCTACTGAGACTGCCATATGTCCCAACAATCTTTGCATAGTGATGGCTTGAACTGTCCTTTGTCATCGAACCCGATGGATGTGCGTACACAGGGTGGCCCTGTGGGATGGAGGAAGGAACACTCTTTGCAGGGTGGAGTCGATACATGCTCCGATGAAATTGATGACCTGCGCGGGAATAAATGACGATTTCTTAAGGTTAATACAGAGTCTGAGGTCATCAAGTAAAGCACAAGTCAGGCGGACAGCCGCTAAAAGGTTGTCTATAGTCCGTGACACAATTAGCCAATCATCTAAATAGGGGTAGACCTGTATACCCCAGAGCCATAGGTGGGCGCAAACCAGGGCCATGCACTTTGTAAAGACTCTCGGTGCCGTAGCCAGTCCGAATGGTAGAACATTGAATTTGAAAATATCAGATCCAACAGTAAAACGTAGGAAGCGTCTATGGGAAGGATGGATAGAAATATGAAAATACGCATCCTTCAAGTCCAATGAGGCGAACCAATCCCCTTCCCTCAGCAACAGAAGAATATTCTGTAAAGTGATCATCCGGAACTTCCTTGGTTTGATATATCTATTGACTCCTCTTAGATCCAGGAAAGGTCGAAGACCACTGTCCCGTTTGGGGACTGTAAAATATCTAGAATAGAATCCGTGAAGCCCATCAGTGCAAGAGAGTTGTCGAATTGCTCCTTTATGAAGAAGGTGAAGGACTTCATCGCACAGAACCGAAGATGGCGGTGTAAATCGGATAGGGCTTGATGGTGGAACGATGTCAAATTCTATTCTATATCCGAGCTGAATGATGGACAGCACCCACCTATCAGATGCAATGGCCTCCCAAATGGGAAGTCGGCTTTGGAGCCGACTCCCAAAGGGGAAAGGGGAAGGTGGTAGGTAGAGAGGTGAATTGGTTCACCGGGACCATCAACGGGGACGTTTCTCAGTGTCGAACCGCCTACGGTCCTGGGAGAAGCACTGTTGAGGCTGTTGCCTTCTACGTTGCTGGTGCAGGTGGAACTGCTGGCGAGGCTGATATTGCTGGCGCCTGTAGTGTCTGGACCATGGCCACTTATGTTTCACTTGTGGGAGTTCCATTTGATGCGCCGTCATACGGGACTCGTGGATGGCTTTGAGTTTCCGATCGCTCTTCGCGTGGAAGAGGCCGGAGCCATCGAATGGCATTTCCTCTATCCTCCTCTTCATTTCCTCAGGGAAATTGCAGTTCCTGAGGCACGCGTGTCGTCGGAGGGAGAAAGCATTGACCATGGCCCGAGAATCAGTGCCTATGTGATGTCTTGTGGTAGACAACTGCTGAATGGCCACCTGCTTTGCTTCATTTAAGAAGACCTTGGCTAGGTCTGCCTGCTGGTCCTGAAGGGAGGAGACGACATTTTCCAGCTTCTGCATAATGAAGTACTGGTAACGTGCCAGCGTAGCCTCATAATTTGAAATACGCAAACTGAGTCCTGCAGCCGCGTAGAACTGGCATGCAATCATGTCGACCTTCCTCCCTTCCTTGTCTCGGGGTGTTGTATGTCCCCGAGCCTCCCTGCCCTGGGACGACTCAACCACCACTGAATTAGGCTTCGGGTGGCGCAGCAGGAACAGAATGTCATCCTCTCGGACCCAGTACATAGATTCGTACCGGTGAGATGTCGCCTGCGGCTGAGCCGGTTGGTCCCAGGGCTGAACCATTGCCTGGCAAAGTGTGGTAATCAATGGTAAGGCAACAGTGGCAGATAGCTCCCCTCGGAGGATGTCGTAAAACCGGTCTGTGCTGGGCCCGGGGTGGTGGTAGGCCTCTATCTCCAGCAATCGGACTAGACAAGAAACCAGCTCCGAGAAAGAAACATGGGGCTCATCCGGGGATCCCGGGTCTTGGGAAGTAATAGCCACATCCGGAGACGAGGAGTCTACTTCCGACTCGTCCGAGTCTTGATGGCAGCGGTAATGCTCACTGGACAAAGAGCTTTCAGGAGTTGGTGGAGGTCTGCATTCCGTACGGCCAGAAGTGGATGGTGCCTCTCTCAGGATCAACGGCGAGCGACAGTCCGGAGGAAAAAAGGCATATGGAGTCCACTCCAGGCAGGATAGCCACCATAGCCGTGCATAGCCCAGTCATCTGCATGGTGCTCCAACGAACGGCTCCTATGCCTAGGAGGAGAGTCTGGTCCCTCAGGTGGCCCAACAGCAGGCATTGGCGTAGGGAGCGTTGCCTCGGCGGGGAATCTCTAATTTCTCCATCAGAGATGGACTCCCTAAGCGGTGGCTCCTGTGGAGGAGACACGCTCTCGGGCCGAAAAACAGGCCTGGGGGATACCGGCAGTGTCACCTGCATTGTGGACTGCAGGACCGGTCACGAGGGAGTCGGTACTGTTGTGGCAGTCGGTACTGAGAACCCTGACGAACCCGAGCCTCGGTGTTTGGGGCGATCAGGTTTCTTGCCCTTGTGGGCTGCCTTAGCCGCCTTTTCTTTCCTCGGCTTCTTATGGCCGGAGGGCCTTTCCGGCTCTGAATGCTTATGCTTCTCCTTTTGTTTGGCTGGAGGAGAAGGTAGCTGTTGCGCTTGAGGAGAAGGTAGCTGTTGGAGCAGCACCTTCATCCGAAGGGTGCTGCAGTGGCGCGGCCAAAGTTGAGGCGGGGCACTTAGGGGGCGCGGCCAGGGTAGAGGTGGAGTGCTGAGGCGGCGCAGCTGAGGAGGGGGTAGGCCTTGAGACTAGCTGGTCAGATTG